GGCCCGGCCACCTGCGCCACCCGGGCGGCCCGCGGCCGCCGCGCCTCGCCGCCGCCGCCGCCGCCGCCGCCGCCGGGCGGTGCCTGGGAAGCCGTGCGCGTCCCCCGGCGGCGGCAGCAGCGGGAGACGAGGGGCGCCGCGGAGGAGCCGAGCCCGCCGATCCGGGCGCTCTATTTCAGCGGGCGAGGCGAGCAGCTGCGCCTGCGGGCCGACCTCGAGCTGCCCCGGGACGCGTTCACGCTGCAAGTGTGGCTGCGAGCGGAGGGGGGCCAGAGCTCTCCGGCGGTGATCACAGGTAGGCGAGGGCGCCCAGGCGGGCGCTGCACCGGCCCTGCGGCCCCAGGGGCGCGCGGGTGCTTGGGCGCTGGTGGCGGGATCGGTGGGGGCTGGCGGGTGTGTCTGTGCGGGAGCCGCTGTGCTGGCGGCGCGGCGGCTCCGGGGCGAGCTGCGAGCCTCACTTTGCCCCATCTGCGGAATGGGCGCACTCGGAAGGCGTCTCCGCCTAGCCCCGCTGGAAGAGCGCAGGGAGCGCTCCCGGGCTCCTGGAGATCCGCAATTGGTGAGGGCTGGTCTCCGGGGAGCCTCGTGCACGTGAACCGTGTTTTGGATGGTCAGAGGTACTGTCTCCGTTTGGGATGGAGGAATGACCCAGCTGGGATGCATGTGAAAAGTGGCTAGGGGACCGTTGATTTCTTTGGCTTTTTAACGGAGGTGACCCTCCCACTTTACTTGGCCCCGTTACCCTGAAAGCCTACAAGGACAAGGTTGTTGTGATCGCCAGGACTTAGAAGTCCTCAAAGTGCCCCCAAAGTTGCTCTGTGGTTGCTGCCTGCCTCTGGGATTCACCCCCTTATCCCAGGCACACGCAGACACGCGCACACATAACTGCCATCCCATGTCCTTGCTTTCTAAGCCTGTCACTCGGGGCTGGGGTGAGACTTTCCTCAGGCACACCCCGTCAGTCCTCCCCCGACTAAGCTGAGAAACGGGGCGCTTTTCTCATTTGGGACTTCTACGAGCCCGTAATGAATTTGAGTTCTCCCTCCTCATACACACACACCCCCACCCTCCCAACACACACACACACACACACACACACACACACACACACACACACACACACCGTTCTACAGCACAGCCCGTAGTGAAACCGGACACTTTGGGAGGGTTGCAGACCTTAGAAATGCACCAACATCCATTTTCCCCCCTCCTAATGAATCTGTGGCAATGCCTTTAATAAAACTGGGGGGCGGAGGGGGGCGGCGCTGGAGGAGAGAAGGAAAGTTTTGCCTCTTCTGGCTGGGAGATTCCCTTCCTGCACAAACAATCTTGCCATGTCCTAGGACGCCTCAAAGTGAGAGTAGGGGTTCCCCTTTCGCTGCAGCCAGGAAACGTGTGGAGGCGTTTTGCGATCCCACCCCCTTACACACACTTTCTTAGAAGGGAAAGCTCTGAGTTCTTCCGGCAGTCCGCTTCTTTCTATTTTGGTGTGGACTTTGTCAACCGTTGCGCTAATAACTCTGTCCTATTTACATCAAGTCCATTTAGGGGACCCAAACTCTGCTGCTATACCAAGAATATGCCCCCAAAGCTCCCACTCTCCCGCTACCAAGCCGAGAGCTAGAAAGTGACTTTCCCCCATACCTGACGTCACCACATGCTTCTTTTTTTTTTTTTTTTTTTTTTTTTTTTTTTTTTTTTTCCCCCCCCCCCCCTCAGGAAGCAGAGGGAGACTGAGCTTATTCACTTTTAGCCCTCAAGCCCTAGTCAGCCAGAGGGGGTTATAATGTAGAGTAGGGGGGAGATGTTATTCATAATAATAATGATGATGAGTATAATTCAGGGCTGTGGTATGTTTACTTCTCTTTCGGAACATAGGAAAAACACAGAGCCTGCAGATTGGAGGGGTTTTTTGTTTGTTTGTTTGTTTGTTTTTTAAATGAGTAGATCTGATTTTTCCTAGTCTTTACCTGCCATACTAGTGATTTGGAAGCCTTCTTCTCCAGAGGGGAGAGTGCAGGGTTATATAGGTATCATCAATGAAAAGGTAGTAAATGCATTTTTTTCAAAAAAAAAAAATATAGCACCTGGGATTCCACAGGAGCCTGCTTTATAAATGTCTGTAATTCAGACAAGGAGCCTCTCTTCACACACGCTCTTTGGAGGACTCATTCGCTCTCTCACACAAAGATAGTGCAGTAAAATCCTTTAATTGGATGGGGGACGTTAGGTTATTACTGCTTGTATAAAATGCCTGGTCCATTTTATGTGTGGAAGTAACATTCCTCTCAAAATGAGGAAAAAAAAAAAAAAAGTCACTGCTGCCGTGTAGCACCAGAAAGCTCAGAGCTTTTCTCCTGAGGATTCTGGTGGATTTTTGTTTTTCCCTCCCCTAGTTGAGTCTGAGCCAGATTTGCGGTGTGTAAACACCTGGCCTTGAGCCAGAAAAGACTCATTCTGCGTATCCTCCACACGGTACAGACTGTTGGACTAAAAAGAACCTGCTTCTCCTTGAATTAAAAAGCAAACAAACAGAGGTTCTTTGCAGAAGCACTTTTTCAGCTTCTTCCTTCGTGTAAGTTCAGGCTGGGAGAGGCCGGGCTGAGGTGGGCAGTTTGGATGCCGGTGCCAAACCGTGTTCTCCCGCTGCGACCTCGGGTGCCCAGTTTGCTGCCTGACCTCTGCTGGCTCTCTCTGACTGGGCGTCACCACTTTCGTAGGAATCCCTGGTCACCTATCTTGAGAGAGCAGGCATCTCTCAGCAGGGACCACGCTGCTATTTCAGGCAGAGGGTTGCTGCCTTGCTGTCAGGCCAGGCTGCCTTACATCACTCTTTGCTGCAGGATTCAATTGGGTTTCGTAAAGGTCTAATTTTATGGTGCTGTTAACCGGGTTTGTCGTCTGGCAGAGGCAGGCCTTGCCGCTCCTGGTAGGCGGGCTATGCTCCCAGATCCGCCTGGGATGCTATTTCTGCCCCGGTTCAAACTTCACTGACACCAGTTCAGACAGGCGCTCGGAGAGGTAGAGGGAAGGAGTGAAGGAGCAGTTTGCTTCTGAAGCTCAGAAAACATGCCTTTTATTTTTTCCAAAAGGGAAGGAGAGAAATATATATAAATACATATATATATATATATATATATTAACAAATAAAAATGGGAAGGCTTATGCAGGCAAAAACAAAGCCAAAGTGAGAAAGTGCCTGTGTGCAGGAGTCTGAGGGTTGAAGAGCCCACCAGCGATGGATGGTCTGAGGGTTCGAGAGTCCTTTAAGGCTATTGTGAAGAGGGTCCTTGGAGGTTACCCAGGCCGGTTCTTCTCGCTTTGGCCGAACAGGGAGACAGAGACGCAGAGAGGGGAAGGATGTGTGCTGGATGACACAGCTCCCCAATGCCAGGAGCTAGGATTTGATCCTGGGCATCCCCACTTCCAGACCTTACCCGCTACACTGCTGAGAGAATGTGTCTGAGAAACCCTGTCACCTCCGACCCCTCACAGACCCACCACCCAGCACAGCCCTCAGCCTCGGTGCTTGGCAATTTGGGCTCCCTTTCAAGTCTGGGGGCGGGGGGGGCTTCCTGACACATCCCTTCGCCTTTTACCAGGCAGGATCCAGACCCTTGCCCCTCATCCCCAGCTGCCCTCCCCCACCGTACCCCTCCAGTTTGACAGAAAGAGAAAAGAGGAAGAAAAAGAAAACAATAGACTCAATTTGCTGCTCCATGGAGCAGAGGCCCCTGAGTAGCAGTTAATCTTGTTAAAGTTTCTCCTGACCTGTTAGATAAGTGAAATGTGGACCCCACAAGCGCTGCCCTCCTCCCACCCCCATCCTTCAGTGATCCAGAATCCCTGCTCAGAAGGAGAAAGGGATTTACCTGAATCCCCTCCAGCACCTCCGCTTTCCATGCTTTTTTCTTTTGTTCTAAATGTTGGACTGTTGAGTTCAGCGACTACTCAGAAGAGACTTTTTATTTCCTCCCTTCTGCAGCCTCTACTTCCCGCAACCCAACCAACCCTCCAAAGAGAGTGCCTGCATTTCCCCAACTTCGGAACTGTAACAGGGAAGGCTAGATTTCAAGAAGCTCATGTATTAACATGGTTCTCCCCACAACATTCATAGTGACACCTGGGGTCTAGGATATTGCAATGGGGTTAGAAGCCAGTTTCAGTAGCTGGGTTACCTCTGCGTGAATCTGCCCCTGCCCCTAACTGGTTGTGTGGCCTTGGGAAAGTTAACTGGTTCCTCTGGGCGTCAGCTTCCTCATCTGCAAAGTGAGCGTAGCACGAGGACCTGACGTATTACATGAGCTCGTACGTGGAACGTGCTTAGAACTGGACTTGGTGGATAGTAAGCACTCAATAAACTGTGATCTTATTATTGGACATGATTTTCCAATGACCTCAGCCTTGGCTTTATGGACTGAGGACACTTAAAGACCGGAAGGAAAGCAGCTCTTCCTGGGTGCCTCCGAGGTGCCGGGTACTGCGCTTGCCTTGTGTCTGCGAGTTTCATCCTCACAACCGCCCTGGAAGGTGGACGTTGTTACCTCTGTTTTCCAAATGAGGAAACAAAGTCTCGGAAAGTTGAAGCGACTTAGTCCAAAGTCCCACGGGCTCTTGCAGTAGACAGAGCCCAGATATGAACTCGAGTCTTAAGTGCCTGTTTCTCCTTCAGCAGTCGTTTTGGAGAGAGAAGGAATGACCCCCATTCCCTTCTTTAGACCTGCTGCAGAATGTCGCCACTCTTTCCTGCATCTCTTTGTGCTGACCATACGCCTACAGATTAAAGGGGATAAAACATGAATCCAAGTCTCACGTGGAGCTCTGGGTTTGACCTAGCAGATCTGTGTTTCTTTTCACGTCAAATTATCAGGCAGACTGGGCTTGGAATTTCTGTTGCCAGTGACTTGCTGTGTGATTTGAATCAAGTCACTTTATCTCTCTAGCCCTTGCTTTCCTCCTCTGTAAAATGGGCATAATGATATCAGGACACTGAAGTGGAAAAAACAGGCAGAAAGTACCTGGCACAGAGCGAGCGCATATTAGGGATTCAGTCAATGGTAGTTGGATCCAGTAAGTAACCACCTTCCCTTTCCCAGTTTGCCAGCTTGGCCTTCAGAAAGTAGGACCTGTTTGTGCATTGTTAGGGCTTTCCCTCTTAAGTTGCTGGGGAGTCTATCTAGAGTAGGCAGTGTATCTTGGGGAACAGTTGGACCCCTTCAAATCCCTTCCTTGAACTTTGATTTCCTCTTCTTTGACCTACTTGGATGACGCCTTGGTGATAAGAGCCAGAGGAGG